CCAGCCTTGGCTGTGTCTTGGAGGCAGGATCTAGGAGACTGCAGTGGTGTTGCTTGGCAGGAAGGCTGGGGCCCTGCAGGCATCGCCCAGACCTTAAATGGCATTGCCCTCTCCCTTCCCCTCCCCCAATCCTTCCCACCCAACCCAGCTGCTCTGCTGAGGGCCATGCAGTGAGTAATGGGACTGTGATGAGAGAGCAGCCTGCACTGGCATTAGGGCCTGGTGTCCACACTAACTGGGGGCCCTGGAGGAGGTTGAGGGGGGGAAGGTGTATAAGGAGTAGGATGGCAGGCTCTCAGAGAGACAGCTTTGGTTTCAATTTTCTCAATTCTAATAGGTTGGGGTGACCTTTGAGGACATTGCCCTGTACTTCTCCAGGGAGGAATGGAGCCTCCTTGATGAGGGTCAGAGACAGCTGTACCTGAATGTGATGCGGGAGAACTTTGAACTTCTATCCTCGCTGGGTAAGACCCTCTCTCTAATCAGTGACCTGGACTTGGCTTTGAGGTTTCCCAGGCCCCATCCCCCAGGGTGTGCTCTGTCCGTAAGCCCCTCACTCTCACCAGTGACCTGGACTTGGCTTTGCGATTTCCCAGGCCTCATCCCCCAGGGTGTGCTCTGTCCTCCCATGTAGACTGTGGAACTGCTTGATTTTCCAGTTTTCTGGGTAGTTGCTGTCCTGGGGAGGATTGGTCTGTTTCTGCCGCTCCCTTCTATTCCTGAAGTCCCAATACTCCCCGCTGCACTATATTCATAAGGAAGGACTTGGTAATGTTGCATGAAGCTTAAGGGATTCCACCTTGATTAGTGAGGAAAGCATCTATAATAATAATCTATAATAATAAAAGTGTAATGTGCTAATTAGACTGGACAGCCAAATGACCTTCCGGACGAATGACGTCCTTCCAGACGAAACCAGCACAGCGGGGGCTGAGGCATAGATGGTTAGGTATGATTAGTCAGGAAGTCGAACAGTTAACACATTAAGTGTTAGCTTGTTTTGTATACCTGACGGAAAGTACAGTGTCACTCATTGTTGACTGACATGGTGCTTAATGTGTTAAGGGTGATCAGACAGGCAGGCAGAGTGGTTAGGGGCGAGTAGGCAGGCAGGCAGGTGGTTAGGAGACAATGGTCCAGGATTGTGAGAGGGAGCAGGTCAGGCTAAGGGTCCCTTACACACACACCCAAACGCCCCCATTAGATTTTTGTGCACCAGGCTTCTAGTTTCCTATATTCCTGTTGGTCATTTGTACTTGTTTTTTGGAGAATTGTCTCTACATCCTTATCCTGTTTATTAACTGTATTTTTTGGTTAAAGAGTCTTTTGTCTTCCTTGTGTATATTATATATTAATTGCTTCTTACATACCGAAACACATATTTCTGCATGTGCTTAATTGCGCTTTGCAGATGCAGATATTGCTCCCCACACCCGCTTTTCTACAAAGTCCATGTTTTTGGCAACCCTGTGTGCAGCAGGTTTAGTGCCACCATGTTTCTAGCAAGCTCAGATGCTTGTTACTTGTGCTTAGCAATAAAGTATTTTTAATGAAGTTACCTTTCATTTCATTTTGTTTATTGCTGTTATGCAGTGAAGGCACTATTTTTCTTTATTTGTTGCAATCTGGACTGATTATTTTTTTTCTATTTTGTGTGGTGGTTGGTTTCACCTGCAGGAAATCCTGTCCAAAACAAACCTCCAAAACTTTTTCTCTAGGTTGTCCTGAGGAGTTTGAAGTTTTAGTGCTGACATTTATTTCTGTCCTGCAGGTTGAGTTAAATTTTATCAGTGCTGTCCAGTTTTGTTGTTTTACATGTGACTGTCCATTTATACCAGCACCATTCACTGAAGAAACTATCTTTCCTTTCATCTGTGGCTTGCAGCTTTGTCGAAGATTACTTGAAAGTATGTGCCTGGGTTTATTTCTATGTTTTCTGTTCTGTTCTGTTCTCTTAATCTATGTGCCTGTGTTTCTCCAGCAACATATTGTTTGCTTGTTTTCTTTTTGTAATAAATTGAAGTCAGGAAGTGATGCCAAATGGTTTGTTCACGCTCAAGATTGCTTTTGCTATTTGACGTCTTTTGATGCCATTTCAAGATTCTCTTTTCATTTCTTTGTAAAATACCATTGGAGTCACTGCGATTGCATTTAATCTGTAGATGGCTTTGTGTATTATAGCTATCTCCACCATATTTCATTTCCAGATTCATGAACACAGGTTGTCTTTTGACTTATTCGCATTTTCTTCCATTCGTTTCATAACTGTTTTATAGTGTTCAGTGTACACATTTTTTGCACTTAGGTTGAATTTATTCCTGAGTATTTTTTTGTTTTTGATTCTATTTTAAATTTGACTACCTTCTTTATTTTTCTGTCAAATAATTTATTCTTAGTGCGTAGATGTGCAGCTAATGTTTTTATGTTTAT